CTGAAGAAAGGAGACAGACATTTTGCTTCTCCTGGAGATCATTAAAAACTTTGTAAAAGTTTCTTTGAGAGCAAGCATGGTGTAGTGGCCTAAATGTCAGACTATGACTCTGGAAACCAGGGTTTGAATCCCTGCTCAGCCATGGAAACCCACTGGGCAATGGATAAGTCACACTCTCTCAATCTACCTCTGATCAAATTCTGTCAAGAAAACCCTGTGATAGGCTCATCAGGTTTCTAGTCATTTTCTTGTTTTAGCCTTTTTGTAAACCATCTTGGATCTCATGTCAGGAGACAGGTGGGATAAAAACTAACTAACTAAATAAATGGTTACACAGACAATGAGGGAGCAAAATTACATTCTGTGGAAAAAAATGTAATTCAAGTTGAAAATGATGTCTGTACTGAGTCTTCTGTTACCACTTTGTAACATGGAATCCAATGTATTTACTTCTTTACTGATGAAATTATTCATTTCTCCAGTCCTCATCTTTGTTTGCCACTATTGAGGATATATATACAGAGATCCTGAATGCAAAGACAGGATGAACAACCTCTCTATATTGCAAAGAAGATGAAAAACAGGTCTGGGCTCTTTCCACGGGCAATCCTTTTCTTCCTAGAAGGGATAACTCCATTTTCCTGCTATGTTTGTTGGGTGGTCACCACACTAGCATAACATGACAGGTTAGGATTAGAAAACAAAAGGAGAGAAAACAATGGGACCATAACATAATGGAGCTGGTAAGTAAATTGCACTTGTCATTGTCTTCCTGCAATCTAACTGCTGTGTAGAAAATGTGTTAGGAGTGGTCGCATTAACCACTCTATCAAGGTCAAGGATACTGAATGAGTTGCCACGGGAAACAAATTACCAAGATGTCAGCTAAAGCTGGAGGGTCTGACGCATTGGAACTTTACCTATTATATGCTTGAGAGATTTCTGGAACAACAGAAAGCTGAGAATGAGCAGACCAGTAATAAAAAGGATCTGTAAAGCAGATGTTACATTGACCTCTGCTGCTTAGAATCTGACTGCTGGCTTACTTGCCCTTTTTGCTTAGGCTTTACCCAAAGGGATTTCTAAAAGAGCAATGAGGTTCTCAACAGGGTGGCATTACTGATTGCCAATATATATCTGTTGTACAGCTGCTTCTAGGAATGAAACATTTGAAGACTTTTAGCAGAGAGTGAATGGTGTGTCCAGGCTCAGCCTTTCTCGCAAACAAAGTGTCCAATATATTTCATCTGAAGTGAATTTTTAGATAATGTGGAGAGCCACTCCTAGTTGATAAAGCAATACAAGGCAAGAGGAATCAATACTCGGATTTTCTAACCTGCATCTTCATATATTCATGTTGGAACTTATCAAAAGACAAAAAAGACTAACCATGTAGTCATTTATGAGTTTCATCAGTTTGATTGATTTTAATTTATTGTGATGTTTTAACATGTTGTACGCCACCCCGATTGTGTGGCAGAGGGGTGGGATATTAATAATAATAATGATGATAATAATAATAATGATAATAATAATAATAATAATAATAATAATAATAATAATAATAATAATAATAATAATCACAAGCACCAGACTTTCCTGGTGAGTCTTTTTTATTGGTCACTCAGTTTAGAGATCTTCTGTGTGTAAGGGTGTATTGCCCTATATTTTCCATTTCACTTATAAGAAGAATCATAGGCTTTTAACTAGAGAAGGCCATTAAAGGTACCTTATGTTTTAGTTTAATCATTAATTTGTTTTAAGTAAAAGCAACTCTGGAGTTATTTTTTTTCTTTTTAAAAAGTGAGAGTTTGGCTCTATTTTGAACATTGACACTACAATGGCATCACTAGGCTTGCTGTCACCCAGTGTGGGGACCTGCCAAGGATGGTAGTGATAGCAGTGATACCCCACTTGCTCCTTCTGCTGCCTCATTTATCTGAGTCCCTTTCTCTGGCCACCAACCACCTGATGGCAGACTCCCCTTCCCCCTCTCCCCTTTCCTTTCATTCCCTCACTTACCCACTCACTTGCCCACCTGCCTATCTGATGCCACCTCCCCCCCCCGGGTAAGTGAGGCAGTGGGAGGGAATAGAGAGAGCA